CTTTCCCTTGTCCAACCACAAGACATCATCTGTTTGTCATATGCATGGAGAAAGACTTTTCCTTGCCTTAACGCACATAAAATGTGCTGCTGAGTCTGAAGGTGTACAATTTACACACGAGCATTAGAAATGGAATAAAACAGGTCTGGCTCTCCTCCTAAGGCCACTCACATAAAAACAGAAGAACAAAGCATTTCTGAACCTGCCGATTCTTAGATCATTGTGATTTGGGAAGAAGTCAGAGTAAACTCATTCCCACGAATCCAGTGTGGACCAGTGGAGGTCCACTGCCAGGGTGAATTTACCCCCCACTCCATGTGTTGGCTGTCAGGAGAAGGGCACCACCTGCTTCGCCCCTTCTTGGAATATCATGACCCAGCAGTGCTAGGCCAACACTCCAGGTGCTCCACATAGCCCAAGGGAGGCCTGCTCCATGGTTTGAGAACTGCTGTTCTATTTCTTACTTGAATTATCCACAAGCTACTTTTGACATAAAAATGAATGAAGTACATCTAAAATTTAAAACCGCATCACATGGATACAAGAGAAGGGCAACACTGACTTACTTGGATGTAATGTTGGGACATGCTGTCCAAGTCTGTCATCTTTAAGCATGTGCAAAAGGGTAGTTTTTCCAGAATTATCCAATCCAAGAAATACTAATTTGCCAGTCTTCTTGTACAGTCCTGAAAAAGGAAGTTATCTGGTAAGTTGCTGTATTACCTCAGCTGATACTCTGGATGGAGCATACCAATTGCTATACAACCACATTACCTAAGAACATGTTATGCAGGCAGAGTGCCAAGCAATGTTTAGGTTCAGAATACTCTGTAACTCATGTAAGAAGGATGCAGACGCCTTCAAGACAGCATACTAAAATATTCTCATTCTAGTTCAACCTGGTCTACCAGAAGTGGGAAAAGGGGTTCCAACTGAGATCACACTAACTTTGTCTTTCCAGCCATAGTTCTGATACACTGGAAGTGTATGTCCAGTTCAGGCAAAGCCAGTCCATAAAACTGCTCTGGGGACAGTTTTTAAATCCACATTGAAAACAAACCCCATAGCCCTGACCTGGATAGCCCAAGCTAGTCCGAGGTTGTCAGATCTCAAAAGCTAAGCAGGGTTGGCCCTGATCAGTCTTTGGATGGGAGACCACCAAGGAATACCAGGGTCACTTTGCAGAGTGAACAATGGTAAACCACCTCTGAATGTCTCTTGTGTTGAAAACTGTATGGGGTTGCCAAAAGTCAGCAGCACCTTAACAGAAAAAAAAAGGAAGTCCTATCAGTCAGTCCATAAATATCTTGCTACATCAAAATGCTCCAATACTGTTAACTAAATGCCATTATAGTCCTGTTTCTAAAGACCAATTTTTGTTTAAGGCTGAGGGAAAAAAGGATTTTGAAAAGGTTTTGAGCAAACTATGCTAGCTCTATAGAGAGAAGGAAAAAAGCAAGCTTTTAAGCTGCAAGTTTCAAGAAGAAACTGCATGAAGGCATTTGCTGGCTATATTCTGAAATACAACAGAAGTTATTCCTTCAGTTAAGGAGCATCTTCAATATGCCTGCATTCAGTTACGCCTTTACAATATTTAAATTGCCAGTTGTTTATTGCTTTGAAGGCTCGTTAAACAAGACAATTAATTTTTGTACGTTTTCCTCTTCTAACCAAAATGTGATCCAAAAGATCCCTTCTATTAGTAGTATGTATGATTATGAAACACAGCAATATATTTTCCTGTTTTTGTAAAAACCTTTGTAAGAAGTACTGTATACCATGGATTAGATCTTTGTACATTACCCCGTATGGATAAGATTGCAATCTATGAAATTAGAAGAGACAGTTTTTGACTTTCAGAAGAAGTTTCCCTACGAAACGGAAGTTTACTCCGGAGAACTTCGTCAATTTGTTATTCTGAATTTTGATTACCAAATTCTATTTTGGGCATATTCAGAATGTGATGAAAAGTCCCAGGAGACCTTTAGATGAGGGTAAGCAGTCGCCCCAAACAATGCTGTGCTATGTTTGTTTCAAATTGGCAGCTGAGACTTGTAGGCTTAAGATGACTGCACTAAGATAGTGCTAACTTTTTATACACAACTCTTTAAATAATCTAATCTTCTAAATAAGTGTATTTAGTATATAAATGACCAGCAGTTTTTAAAGATTTCAGCTCTGACGTGTGCTGTAATCCCACACACTTTTTCTTGGGAACCAGTCCCACTGAACCCAGTGAAATTTATTTCTGAGTCCACATGCGCTGGATCAGGCTGTTAGGCCAGTCTCCTCTACAGATGACGCTAATAGTATCCGTAACCTCCTGTCCAAAACTGTTGGCTTATTTTGGTTGTTACGCTGGTGAGCAAAGCAAAAGTCACTTGAAAAGCTTCTACCAGGCGGTCTAACAAGTTCTCCTGCACAAGATATGCCTCCAGCAAAACCACAGCTCATTTTTTTTAAACACAAAGTTCACTGTTGCCAAGATCAGCACAATACAAAGGTGCCCTGATTGCCTTCAAACTGGGGAGTGTGGAATGGCCCATCAGAGTTTGTTTTCAAGCAATAGAGCAGAAACAGAAATACTTTACTAGACTCAAGGCCTGCTTCAGTAATTAGAGAACATGTACTTTTCCTTGAGGGAAAATAAATACAATGACAATGTCTTAAACAGCTGATTTACCACAAAGGATGGCTTGCTACTGTCTCAGTGTTTTATAAACTGGAGTGCAAACTAAATACATTACACCTGTACTTTCTAATCAGGTCTTATTACAATATACCAGTTAATGTAACTTTAAAACAGTAGTAACGATGGATGCAATTTCTTTTCTTTGTACATGGACCATTAGCAATACAAAACTGGGGATCTCTCAGGAGATAGAATGATCATTCTGAAGACTGCTGCCTGATTGGCCAGTTTTGAAGTAACTTCCTCTTCTCCTTTCGTATCTCCGTTGACTGATGGCTCAGCTGATGTACTTTGTCCCCTTGCCCCACCATCCATAACAGCCACTTCATTCGTTAGGGAATAAGAAAAATATAACTGATACATGGCGTAACAGCAGCCCTGCAGAGTAGCTGAGACTTAGCTGCAACTGTCAGAATCAGAAGCAACAACAGGTAGGAGGTGGTGAGTAAAAAGGGGAACACAGCAAACAAGGTGAGCACAGCAAGCAGAAAGAAATATTAAACTGGAGACAGAATGATGGTGAGGTGTGTGTGTGTGTGGGGGTGTCTGTCAGCAGGTTGCATCAAGGAAGAGTACTGACAATGGAAGGAATTAGAAGTTTCCATCTTCCAGTCACTACCGAAGATAAGTACAGTAAAACTGGAATCAAATGCAAAGTCCTCTCAGTTAAGCTCTAAACAGCTGATATATAGCATAACCCCTGGCACAGGCCCTTTTCAGTTGTGGCATTTGACCGTGTGTACAGGATGAACATGCTACACACGACCCTCCTGATATGTTCGACTGTCATTTATTCTGAATGGGGCAATCTGTGTGTTTGCAGCCTCAGAACTATCTGGCAACACATGTGTGGAGGCTGGGGGAAAAAACCACAAGTTGCCTCTTTCAGAAGATATGGTGACTGTCAATATCAGAAGGATTGTATATATCATATTTGTCCCTTACATGCAGTCACAGACTCAGAGACATAACAAATGAAAAAAGCAAGGGTGTTATTGTAATAACAGTAAGCTTTGTGTTAATGTATGGTCTTAGCCAATGGCATGCCCCATTCTAAATACTTTAGTATTACCAATACCAGGTCAAAGTTGCTCAGGTCTTGCATAATGATGCAGTGAAGTTGTGCATTAAAATGCACAATTAATGACAGAATAAACTAAAATCACATCTCTGTAGCAAATGGTGCCAGTTATGAGTAAGCTATGAGTAATATGACCATTAGCACAATGTTTTGCAGTAACTGAAGGTATAACAATAAGGTAGAGGAGAACCGTAGCTATTTGCCAGAATAATTTTAATACTGCTAATGAAGGCCCCCCAAAAAAGAATAAAAAGAACTTGCATACACTTCAATTATGCTTGTTTTTCATGTGGTTCCAATTAACACCCACAGGGGAATGGAAATGACAGTATCAATGTGGAGTTTAATCTTACCTAAAAACTGCAGTACACTACTGAAACCGCTATAAATCCAGTCAAATATAAAGGACATATCCAAATCTTGCAGGTTCTGAAAGAAACAAAATTCATTCAGTATGTTAAATTACACTTAAACTCCACTGAAGCAGGAACATGACAGAAGTACAGTGGAACCAACATTCACTCACAGAGACATCACTTTATGATATTCCAATAAATCACAGTGCTGATCCTTTCAAAACAGAATAACTTTAAACTGTGCTGTAGAGGAAAACAGTTATTTTCTCTTTTTAACAGAATGTTAGGACTGGAACTGGAAACTACATTTCTCAAGCGCAATTCTCCCATGCTGCCAGGGAAACTGTCTTTATTCTGCCCATAACCAAGCAACTGATGAGGGTGGGAGAACCAAACTGTGTGAACAGTCTACTTGATGGTGCAATGTAATGCACAAGTTATAAATGTTAGGACTTATGACTTCTTGCTTTTGAACTGCTAGGTTGGCAGGAGCTGGGGCCAGAGACGGAGCTCACTCCATCACGTGGCTCTAGGGTCTCGAACTGCCGAACTACAAACTTTCTGGTCTGCAGCTCAGCGTCTTAACCTCTGAGCCACCATGGCTCCAAATCAAATGGTTCTCTGGTTACAAATTTTATAACAGCAAATCTTTAAGCACTGCCATAACCAAAGACACATTTAATCTCATAACAAGACTGTCCCTCTGGGGACCTATGTCTTATCTTTGGTATATAGGTCCCAAAGATCCATAATGGATTGTTTCTGAACTGTACCTGTTACAAAGATAATAGTGTCCATACAGGAATTAAAGAGATATTATTGGAATGATGGTTTCTTTCTAAAGGTGGAAAATGTATCCACATTTCTTTCCTTTATAAAAAAAACAACAACCCAAGGATTTAACTCAAGGCCATGCAGCGTCCTCATTTCATTTCCCTCTTCTGTGTCAAAATTCAAGAATACTTTACACAAAAACTAATATAGCTATAAGACCAAGCTAGGAAAAAGCTAAAGCAAGACCCTGTTGTTGTTTTTGTTTGTTAAAGCTCAACTGCAGTAAAAAAGAATAAATTTTTGCAGAATGGCACAATCAAGTTTTGTGTCATTTTAGGTCACCTCCATTTCAAAAACACAAAAACGTAACTCTTCAGCAGCAACAGGAGACCTACAAGAAAGCAGTCCACATTATTCAGTGAAGGCTCCAAAACTGTAGCAGTATGCATGCTGCAAGCTTTCTAGTTAATAGCATTGTGCATAAGCAAGGGGCGAAGTTTCAAGAACATTTTTGGCAATCTTTTAGGAAGGGTGGGGCTTCAAAGGGCACAAAAACACATCAACTTAACACATTTCTTCTTCTGGTCTCCCCCCCCAAAAAAAAAGACTATTTTGCCATTATCACAAGCCATTATGATACATTACACTAGCTCCGTGATTCATTCATGGGCGGCTGGGGTCATGCAGTCAGCAAGAAGAGGACATTTAGAATAAGCAATGCTAAAGCAAAAGGGCAGCGAACAGGTAATTTAAAAATGCTAAGCTTTTGGAGGGTTTTCAGTGAACATCCCAGGTCACCTGAAAACCTGTTTCATTAAAAAAAAAAACCAATTAACATTCAGTGCAGCAGCACTGGTAAATAAACAGCACTCTAAACAGTATCACTGAACAGTATCAAGTCTCTCGTGGTGTCTCGCTTAGCACAAGTTCCTCAGGCAGACCAAGATTGTATCTCTGGCTTGGGGGAATAGGTTTTATTAGTTACATTCTAGGAAGCCTACAGAATTTCAGTTCTTATCTTCTGGCCAATGAACATTTATACTCTTCCTTTCAGAGGGCTCATATATGGTCACAGCTCTCAGCTGTTTGATCCAATGAGGCTGGTGTGTATGTAGGCTTTATATGCTTGAGGAGAATCAAAACTGTCCCTGGAAGAAGGAGATGATTTTCTCCCCAAGCAGTCTAGCTCCCAAATAATGTGTCCAGGCACATTGTACAAAGCATGCCCTTCAGCCATATGTACATGTAGGGGACCCAGAGTAAATGCATCTAGCCCTGAAGCAAACACACTTTGACTCTTGTCATGCCAACTTTTGATAAGGAATGCCACAATTCAAATGAATTTTTGGCAACAGTTTGGTCACTTTTTTCCAGTCTCTCTGGTTACAGCTTCTGATGTACGGTTCTTTAATGCAGAACAGTGGTGCTCTGCAAGCTGAACGCCCAAAGCCCTGCCAGGTACGGGGAAAGAAACATGTAGGTCATTAAAAGAAAACTGTGACATCCACTTTTGCTCAAAAAACTCCAATTTTGTGATATACAATAAAATCTATGTAAAACAAATTCAAGACCTTTCTATGATCTGTTGTCTTGAAAGCAGTTGCAGTTTGGGCTTGCTCAATTACTTCTAGGAGGCAGTTAGAAACTCATCTGAGTTTCTATTTTATTGAGTACTGCAGTTGGCATTACACCAGCTCAAGTTGTGCGATATGTACTGCTTCACTGGCATGTCTCCTTGCAGGGCTTTTTTTTGTAGAAAAAGCCCAGCAGGAACTCATTAGCATATTAGGCCACACCCCATGTTACCAGAAGTGCGGTCCTCCAGCCACACCCACCTATTGGTTCTTATTCTCTTTACCTTGTTTGTTGTCAAAACCCAGGGCTTTTTGCATGTTAGGCCACACACTCCTAATTGTAGCCAATCCTAATGAGTTTCTGCTGTTGGGTGTGGCGTGTTCTGCTAATGAGTTCCTGTTGTGTGTGGCCAACTTGGGAGCCAGCCGGAACTCCGTTCCTGTGCGTTCCTGCCCAATAATAGCCCTGTTTCTTTGTATCTCTCAATAATTGCAAGGCTCTGTCTGTAATCTCAGCTCTGACCTAACAGCCCAGGCTAGCCTGATCTGTTAGATCTCAGAAGCTTAGCAGGATTGGCCCTGGTCAGTATTTGGATGGGAGACTACCAAGGAATACCATGGTTACTATTCAGAGGCAGGCAAACCACCTCTGAACGTTTCTTTCCATGAAAACCCCAGAGGTGTTGAACTCATTCGTTACAAGGGCCAGATCTGACATAAATGTGACTTTGTTGGTCTGGGCCATATGTGCCATAAAACATGCTAGGTACCAGAGTTATAAACTTTATAAAGAACAACAGCTGGTAAGCTCCGAGTTGGTGTGTCTGCACTGCAAGGCCCCATGGGTGCTGCCTGGAGGGGGGACAAACCCCTTCCCCATTCCACTCCCACCACCAAAGCTGTTGAGCCTGGGCCCCAGGGTAAAGATGCAAAGCAGCTCAGTGCTGCAAGCTCCCTCCTGCCCCTGAGCCACCATGAAAGGGGACTGGGAAGACAAGCTGAACTAACCTCACCTGCCTGTGGAAGCAGAGGGCAGTGGCCCAGGTTGAAGGCCACATGCATTGTGGGGCCCACACCATGCCTGATAAGCCAGAGACACCCATGCAGCAGCGTTTGCCTCTGGCCAAGGCTGCCAGGCGATCCATTGTGGGTCAATGCTGGGGGCTCAAGCCAGAGATCGTCAGCAAGTCGCGCCACTCCCATGCAGCAGCAGCTGCCCCAGGCCAAAGGCCTCTGGCTTATCTGATGGGAGAGCAGGCACCACACACACAAGGCAGCACATGTGTGGCACAAGGCTGCCCAGACAGACCACCCAGCAACCAGTATAACCAGAGATTGCCAACACGCCCCCCCCAATGAGGCAGCAGTCACCTACTGCTGAAGGCTACTTGGTTGTCCATGGGGGAGGGTGGATTAGCCGCCGAGTTGTGTGCTCGGTGGCAGCACTAAGTCTCTGGTTGTGTGGAAGAAACTGCCAAGGAACTGCCCCCCATGGACCAAAGCACAGCTGCCGCATGGGGGGGGGGATGCAAATATGGTGGAGGTGCTAGCCACCAGGAGGCCCCAGCATAGGATTGTCTGCAGCCTCCCATGTGCAAACGGCGATCCCCACGGTCATCGGGGACAGCATTCCCAGAGCTGCAGGCTAAGCAGAGAGGCGTGCAATCTCACCTTGGAACCTTAAGCTGGCATGAATACAGCTGTGGTAGGTCCTAATTTACCAGTGAGGCTGCCACTGTAGCAAAGGGGTTCTGCTTAACTGCTGCAGACGAGGTTGGTCTGCCACACTGAAGCCACAATTGGAGTGGCTCTGCCCACTTGCCACCCCTGCACAGAACTCCTGCAAGAAAAGTAACGATCAGTTGCTCGCAGACCAGATAAGCGCCCTGTTCTGGCCCGCAGGCCGTCTGCTTGACACCCCTGCTCTATGGGGTCACCATAAGTCAGCTGCATCTTGATGGCAAAAAAACAACAACAGCAACAACAGTTGTTGTTCTTAATTTGATTTATATCTTGTCCTCCCCGCCAAGGATACTGGAATCTCTGTTTTGGGGGGAATATATCTGCTTCACTTAATACCATTATAAATTACTATAAAATAAATGCCAGTTGCATATGTTCACCTTTGGCAGCATCCACATACTTTGTTGTTCAGACACACAGTTGAGTCCGACTTCGCAACCAAATGGACCACACCCCGCCAGGCCCTCCTGTCTTCTGGAGTTTGCTCAATTTAATGTTTGTTGCATCGATAACACTGTCTAGCCATCTCATCCTTTGCCGTCCCTTTCTTCTTTTACTTTCAATCATTCCCAGCATCGGGGTCTTCTCCAATGAGTGCTACCTTCTCATTTGGTGGTCAAAGTATTCGAGCTTCAGTATCTGGCCTTCCAGGGAACAGTCAGGGTTGATTTCCTTTAAGTTTGACTGATTTGATCTCCTTGCAGTCCAAGGGACTCTCAAGAGTTTTCTCCAGCACCATAATTTGAAAGCATCTATTCTTTGGCACTTGGCCTTCCTTATAGTCCAACTCTCACAGCCATACATTACTACTGGGAATCAATGCTCCCTCTAAGCTGTGGAGTCTTGTGAACAAAAATTCCACTTTGTGAGCTACTGGCATTAAAGTTGTGAGCGAGCGATTTGGCTGCTGCATAAATTAGTTTGCTCTGGAGTCATCATTCCTGAGTTAAGACAAAAATGTGTGAGCTGGAGGCTAAAAAAC